TTGAATATATTATGATTTTCAGCTATTAGCAACTCAACCTTCATAACAAGTTTTCAAATATTAAGCAGTAAATCAAACAGTACAATATCCCAACTAAAACCACCGATGACATCTCAATATAAGTATACACACACACATATAGGTACCCGGTTATTAACCTCTACATGTAGTCATATATATATATCAATTGTTCTAAATATTAGCCACTAGCTAAAAACTGTATGTACGAGATTATGTAATATTTTTATATGTACTGATTTGCTTTTCGGGTAGTAACCGCAAATAGGATGAAGAACAACCAAGAAATTTAGCACGGAGTTGAATCTGAATTCATAGCTCTGCATTAATTTGAGAAAATTCAAAAACTGGACATAAAGTGTGGCAAAGAGTAAAACCATCTTTAATCCACAAAAACAATCAAAGTGGACGAATACACTTAATGATAAACAGTACTTCTACTGAAGATGAACCGGCTCTGAATTCAGACCAAGTGAGTATGATATATAAAATATTATATAATGCTATCGATCTCAATGTGGATGTTTTGCCCACACTCACTTTTGGTTGTTCCATTAGAAAAAATAAGGGAACGTATATATTCACAAGGTATCACTTGACCTGCCAATGAAAAAAAAAATCACTATCCATTTTTTACAAAGTTCATTCCACGAGAAAGCACATGTGAAACCATAGGGTTATAACTTAAAACCGTAGATAAATAGAGTGAAAGAAAGTTAGCCACATTCTTTGACCAATTTTCTATTGTTCAAACTACACACAGGTAGAAACATGTATACACCAAATATTTTGAATAGTAAAAATTAATATGAAATGTTAATATGAATAACTAAAGAAAACAAGACATAATGCATATACTTTTGCATACCACAATTCTAATACAAATACGGGCTCTTCAGAATGTTTAAAATATGGGAGGGGAAAAGCAGTCTTAAATAAATAAAAATTGTCTAACAATCAATAAAAGCTTTTCTAAATATTATTCAACAATTTCACACAATAACAAGAAGTATTTGTATATACAAAAAATATACAAATGAACTTGTTGGATGTGTACTACAAAATCGTATGTCATACAAATAATAAAAATGTTTTAAATAAAAATCAGTACACACATTAAACAGATACATAAAATGTTACTAATAGCGTAATGTTTAGTTTGCCAGAAAATGTAGCTTCCACTTCTTCTGACTGGAAAAAACAGCCGACAGTATAGAAAAAGACTAAATAAAAAATTGTCAACAAAATATTGGGAGTACCAAATAATATTCGGACTACATATTTAACTTTGGACAGGTGCCCCTCATAGCTCCGATGTTTATGATATACATATGCAAGCATCCAACTATTAACCGCTAAATATAAACCTGTTTATAAAGGATTCTAAATACTAGAAAACAGCTAAAATCTTATACTTACACAAAGATCCAAATGTCAAGTACTAACTACAAAAACTGTATATACAAGGTTTAAATATTGCCCAAGAACTATAAGCTGAGAATGCAAAATTTTGAACATTAACCACCAACTAAAACTCTTTATATACAGAGTTTCAAGTGCGAACCACTAGGTGCAACCCTAGTAACTATGGTTCAATTTGATTTTGGCTGATTAGTAATCTTTAACTGATATTACTAAGAAATGAATATCATGACTATGTAGTAAACAGTATCTTGATTAATTACCTAACTGCATTATATCACAATAAAAAAAGCATTTCAAAATGAGAACTCATACAAATTTGGGAATTAAACAGGTAAAATTTGAAGAGAAAAAGCATTAATGTAACTTACACAACATTTCTCACATTTATATAGCTTTATGATCAAGAATTACCATACTGTTAACATTATATTTGATCTTAACCATGTCACTTGTAGCTTTAAACAAATTTCATAGGTAAATATAACCGATACTAATGTTCATCTATGCGGTCTGCTAAGGTTAAAAGTTTTTGTGTAACTCGTTATTTGTGAATTTATTTACTATCTGAGATATTCAGTGAAATTAAATGCTTTTCCACTGCCTGGTAATCAGAAACAATTCACATTTCTGACAAAGCACGTTTAGCAGAGCGTTTTCTGTTATCAATAACACGTGTCAAAGTGACATCAAAAATCAATGATCAGCATATTATAACTTTCTTCTTTACTGGTTGGGTGTGAACTCAATGGGCGACTTTGTTTTGAACTATCCTACATCAGGCAAACGGTAACACTGCCTGTGTAAGGATGGCTCTGATTGTTCATCGAAATGGTATTTTAAATATATCCTCAATAAGTCAACAGAACTTTACAATACTATACAGTGTTTCCTTTTATAACAATATATATTTAATGACTGAGTCACAATGTCTGTATATATCATAGCAAAAAGTTTGAATTTCTTGTTCTTTTTTTTTACATGATAACTCAAAAAACCAAACAATGGTGTCAGCCAACTTCATTGAGGTGACATAGTTTCAAACGGAGTATCCGCTTTCATAACTATTATTAACTAGTAGTAATTAAAAAACATAATTCTAGTGTGAACGATCGTATCATTACCCCTTAAAGTAAGCTTTCTTACAGATATCTGGTGTTTCTGTAAAAAACTAGCCAATAATAGATAAACAATACATATTTCAGTTGGAACCTCATTGTATT